GCTTTTAGTCTGTGGCCACATGCGTCTGAAGCTCATAATGACGGATCATACGGAACGCACAGCAAGCAACGCGCTCTTAAGCATGTTTTGGTCAGCAATTTCCAGAGAGCGATGGCAAGTTTGTCTGGTGCAGCACATTGCTTCGTTGGCCGTCATCATGCCTTCAAGTAGCAGCAGTCGAAATTAGTATGTCAGGATTAGTATCGTCGCTCGATGGGTGCTATTAGCACTTCATGTCCATTTAGTAGCTGAGAATCACAAGTGAAACAGCAGGGTTGTTCACGTAAAGTCGAGGACGAAACAGAGAAGAAAAGAAGAGTGCGAACGAGGACCCCCACAATCGGAAAAGAGTATCTATCCCAATGGAGCAACTCGGGACACGATCCGGGGTAAACCGGGACCCTCACCAGCCACATTTGCGACCGTGCCACAAGTCCATCAGCCACACCCGTGACCAACCAACTGATACGTGGCCAGGACCTCGGAAAGTAGATAATCCGCCCCTTTCGAGTCCGACCGAGCGACGCCATTATTCGCCGACCACCAAAAGAGCACAGCTGGCCCATTCGCGTTCCATCCATCCATCCCCATCTCACCTCGCCTCCATTGACACCTCAGCATCCATTCCTTCGCTTCGTCAAAATGTCCGACCAGGTGCAAGAGCTCCTCAACGTCCCTCGGGAGTTCCTCAGGGAAGGCGTGCAGTTTGTCAACCGCAGCCAGAAGCGTGAGTTGGCCTGTTGCTTGTACAGCACTCCTTGGATTCAAGCTAATAAGTTTTGCAATGATAGCCGACAAGCGCGAGTTCATCAAGATCAGCCAGGCTGTCGGTACTGGTTTCCTGATCATGGGTTTCATCGGTTACATTGTGAAGCTGAGTATGTTGCTCTTTTAAAGCTGGATTAAGCCCCCTGCTAGACCGGTAAACTGACTCGTCTTAGTCCACATCCCCGTTAACAACGTCCTCGTCGGTGGCGCGTAAACGAACACTCCATCATCCATTCTATTCGGTGTCAAGCGAAGAAAGAATCATCATAAGGTTCATCATGTACCTTATTGGCCAATTGCGAGCTAGGGTGCGCATGCGGATGCGATCTTCAAACGAGCGTGTAACATTATACCCGCCTGATGAATGAGCAGATTGCGATGCAGTCTCGCTCGACGCGGAGACCAGTCGTTGGAAACTGGCAATATGTGCATAATTAGTCTGGGCAGGCGTTTAGGGTGTGCTGTTAATATATCCCATTGAACTATGGCAAGCTGCTATTAAACCACTGAAATTATAACCTATAATGAATCTATACCCAGTATCTATGTCCTCACTACCATCAACTCAGACTCACTAATTATGCTGCCAAAGCTTCAATCACATAACTATTTATGACACGTCCAACCTTACCACAACCCCCAGTCCCAAAATATATCTTATCCAATGATCAGCACTCAACTCAAACCAACTTAAACATGATGTCACCACTCCAGCCATCACCCTCTACACCTCTATAAACAACTACCACCATTAATTACCATAAGCAATGCAATTTCAATCCCCTTAGCACTAGACAACTTCCTAGTTACACTGCAGTACCCTTACCAATCTTCTCCGAGGTCCCCACACTCGACTGCCGATATCCGTTCCCATTAGTATATCTCTTCTCCACCGGAGTACTCCACGCACAACCACAACCACATATACATATAGCAGTCCTCGCCACCCCGATTTATACCTCTACTTCCACATAACACCCCTCAACTACCAAGCCAATTACCCCAATTGACCTTACCCGAAAACAAGAAAGAGAAAAATGGAGCCAATCTCCCCACCCCCAACCCTAACCCACCTCTTCACACTCCGGTGCGCCGTCGACCCACCCCTCGAAATCGGCACGGGACCGTACGGCCGTCGACGCTGCGTGCCCATCAAGTCCGGCACTGTGAGGGGGAAGTATCTCGTCGGGGAGGTCGTCCCGGGAGGAGCGGATTTTATGTACACATTCCCATGCCCATAGTACCTTACTGGGTAATTGAATTGGGATTGAAGGCTAACTATGGGGTGATGGTATAGGCTAGTGGAAGAAAACCAGACGACGCATGTGAATACGAATTATGTGATTAAAAGTGAGGATGGGGCGTATATTTATGTGAGGTCGGTGTTTTCCACTTTTCAGTTGTTTTGATGGTTGAAATGGAGATTTGGGTATGGTATATGCTAATGCGTGGAGTGGGATTTGTAGGACGGAAGGAACCCGATCCGGACCCCCCGAAGTGCTAAAGGCGTTGATGGAAGGAGACGGTGTTGATCCGGCGAGTTACTGGTTCCATTTACATATCAAGTTGGAGACAGGACATGAGAAGTACCGGTGGATGACGAACCGGGTGATTGTGGGACGGGCGACGAGGGCGAAGGGGGAGGTTGCGTATGATGCGTATTTCTTGGAGAATTTGTCATAAATCCAGGACAATTGTGGAATAATGTATATAGTTGTTACATATTAAAGTATCTGGTATACAAGGTATCATATATGGTATCACTGCAAACGGATTTGGTGGTTGCGCAGCAATTCCGCCAAATTCGCATACTCCCCTGCGCTCGCGTCCTGGCGAGCAAGTACCTCCTCTGCGAGTTGAAAGGCCCATAGGTGTTCTGAGTGGAATGATCGCAGCTCGTAGAGCCGCTCACGTAGCCACTCGCGTTGCGCTGGGTCGTCGGTTTCGACAATGGCCATGAGGAGTGGCCAGTGTAGTCGCCGTAATAGACGCGGGTCTGCGGCGTATTGTTTGTGGGAGTTATCGATGATGTTGTTGAGAGCTTGGCGATGCAGTGCGGCCGGTGGGCGGGCTGTATCAAAGAGACGACGGTGGAAGAGGATCAGGGCGTAAAAGTTGTTCACGGCCATGTATATGGTATTGAGCGTGCGGCGGGTGGAGCCTGGACTGGCGAGTTTGGCGGTTAAGAGAAGGTCGGAATATTTCTGTCCTGGTTAGCATGGATATTACAATGATACCAGAGGTTGACATACATCTCGGACCGCCATCATCTCGGCAAACAGTGCGTCGCCAGACTCGGTGTGTTTTTCATCCAAGCATTTCCAGAGCTTATGCCATAATGTGTATCCGACATGTACAAACTCCAGCCCCCGGTAGTTCTCCATGTCGTCCGATACCTCCTGGTCCGGATATTGCTTACCCCAGAAGCATCGACCCCAGAGCCGCGCGCAGCGATATAGATGGTCCGGGTGAAGAGATTCATTGCCCGAGTTGAGCACGTAGTCGTAAAGCGACTCTGTAGTTCCGATCGAGCGACGATTAACATCGATGTATCTGATCGATTAGCGATGCCTAATAAAGCAGGAAGCATACTTACAGTATCCATAACAAGAACTGGTCCGAGATAAACGAAGCCCTAGATACCGTATCACTGGGCTGGTCCGCCTCCATTGCCAACAACACCTCGTTAACATCGCGCACATGGAACAATTCCGGATGTGTTTCCAGCAGAGACCGCACTCCCTGCAGATGGAGATGAAGATGACGCACGCAATGACCAAATTGCCATTCATACGCGACCATGAGGAACATGGTTGCGAAGATCATCTCAAGCTCCGCAAACGACACTTGAGGTTTGGGGGTTTCCAGTAATTGGCGGAACTCCTTGACGGCCATGCCATAGTGGTACCGGCCGTGATCCTCGGCGGTCGGACGACCTGGTGATCGGACAACGAGACCATTCCGATGCATATCACTTGCAGACAAAGCCAAGATCATGCGCATGATGACCTTGCTGGTAGCCGCGGGCCCCTCATACAGATAGCGGAAGCTGCTCCATTGCCAGTTCTTCATGTAATAGAACACCACAGACGAGGAAGGAAAGTACTGGAAGTATTTCTGATCATGCTCCGACAAGACGAGCGAATTGGTGCAGGGCAAAGCACCTGTTCCGAGCAGGGGCCGGTAGAGTGGTGATGGTTGCGCGTAGGGCGGAAACGGCCATCCCGTGGGGAAACTGACATCTGGGGAAACCGGGGAGAAATCCGGGGCTGGTCCGGGGGACTGCCGATGCCAGAGAGCAGCTAGAGTGTTGGCATAGTGAGGATGAAGAATGCTGTTGGTCACAGCAGCGCGAACAGGAGAGGGAGTGGTCGCAGATGGGGAGGAGCAAGTGGTGATGCCATCGCTGGTCGGCCAACGAGGTTGCGCGGGCTGCAGATGCCGAACCGGGGCATTGGCCTTGCCGCGCTTAACGGGAATCCCCCATTCACAGTTCAGTCGTAGATTGAAGCAGCGTTTGCAGACTGGACGCTCCTCCCCGCATTTTACTTTACGACGGCGGCAGGTGCTGCAGCCTGTAAGATGCGAGTCAGTCAATCAGTCAGTCAACAACTGAAATGTCCGTCCGCTGGGATCTTTTTTTCCCGAGCTTTCCGCCGACTCCGGGGAACTCGGGCAAGGGTTGGCATACCATTCTTCGAGCGAGGCGCGTTCCGACCCGACATGGAATGAATGGCCCACTCGTGAAGGAGTCGGATCAGCCGACAGGCATCAGTAAAAAGCAGAAGAAGATAGCCGATATCACGATTTTAAGCGAGGGGCAGTGGGTGATGCAGCGGGAAAGTTCATCGGGAAAAAGAAATTCGGACGGACACAAAATTCATGGAAGCGAAATGACATGCCAGGCGCTTAGTCAGCGGCAGGACAGCTGGGACTGACTCGTACAGGGCTGGCTGGAAGGGCAGAAAGTAGTTGAAGATGGTAGCAAGTATCTAGAAAGTGTGCTTCTTTGAATGGTGAATTTCTACAGACTTGGAGAAGGGTCTGATCTCAATTTGGGGTAGTTTGCCCCGTCGCAGGGCTAACGTTCTCACCCTGGTCTTAGTGACGCCCGCTAGGGAGTCACCGTGGTTTGAGTATGGCTACTAGTAGCTGGCGCATCGCCAGGGACAAGGTCATCAATCGTGCATTCGAGATCTGCGCTAGGAAGGATTATACTTCTATCGGGTATACAAACAATGTGACAGACGCCATGTTTCACCTTCTCTGAGTAATATCGCCGAGGATCTACCGAGAAACATCCTGATGGCTGTCTGTAAGACATCAAGCATGGAAGTGGTTCCGAGCAGATGCTCGAAAGATAGTATGGTGCTTTGATGCCGGGAATGTCATAGAGACAGTGTATCCTGTCTTACTCCTGGATACACTCCTTCCACTGCTTCTGCGCAATCCCGAACAACTCATCGCTCGTCACCATCTCCCACCCAATCAGCGCCAGCGACTTGCCTACAATCACCGCCTCTTGGTGAGCGTAATCGGTTCCAGCCGCTGCAGCAAATTTGGGATGATGGGGGAAGGAGCCTGGTTCATCCGTAATCCCAAACATGGTGTGTAGTGTCGGGACAATGTAGCTCACATTGCCTAGAGAAGTCAGTAAGGTACCCGGATAAGAAAGCATGGTCACCTACCGATATCCGATGATCCTGTCATGACCTTGTCAAGACTTGCAATGACATTCCGGTCATACTTGGACATGTGTGCTTTATATCGGTCGCACAGTGTGTCATTAATCTTGACGTCTGTATACAACTCATTCCTAGTCCGGTTAGCTCACCTTCTGTTGCTCCAGTTGTTGACAGACTTACTCAATAATCTTGGCCTCACAACCTGTAGCCAATGCACCTGCCTCAATGCAGTTCCGCACTTTGACCATAAGTTGGTTCAACCCTTTCAATGTCGGGCTACGAACCTGCCAGTACGCTTTGGTGTACGAAGGAATTATGTTGGCCACCGTGGGCGTATCGAGGAAAGCACAGTGTATGCGCTCATCTGGGCGGAGTTGCTGGCGCAGTACGGCCACGTTGTTGTACGATGTCACCAGGGCGTCGAGGGCATTGATTCCTTCCCAAGGGTTGCCGCCAGCATGGGCACTCCGACCTGTGAACTCGCAGTGTATCTCTTTCCTAGCGTTCATTCGCACACCACCGACGCTGTCCGCTACAACGCCGGGGAATAGTTCTTTGGGTCCTGCGTGACTGAAAAGGTCAGTATACCAAGAGGAGAAGTCTACTCAATAGATACGATAAGCCGCCTGAGTGAATGGTCAATACGTACGCCATCAATGACACATCTACCCCCTTGTATGCACCCAAGTCAATCAACTTGGCCTTGCCACCGCCATTCTCCTCTGCCGGAGTACCCAAAAGCTGAGTGCGACCGGGGATACCATATTGTTTCAGGACAGTCGACAGCGCTAGGAAGGCGGCCATACTGCTGGTAGTGATGAGATTATGACCACAGGCGTGGCCAATGTCAGGCAGTGCATCATATTCAGCATTGAAGTTGATTAGGCGTCCACCCGATCCGCTGAGTGCCTCAAAGGAGGTGTCCAGGCCGTATGCGTGACGGGTTACGGTGAAGCCTTGCTTCTCGAGGAAGTCGCAGATAGTGTCATGGGCGCGATGCTCTTGGTAGGCTGTTTCTGGATTACACCAGATCTATGGTAGGGTCGATGTTCAGAATCATTTCAAGCGAAAGGAGAGTTTCGTGCCTACCTCTCGGTTGAGCTCTCGTAGCGACGTTTTTGCCGATTCCAAGGCTGCATCAATTGCAACCTTCACCTCGTCGATCGTTGGCACGGTTTGGGTAATGGTCTGCGTTTCAGTCATTGTGACGATGGTCTGTCAATCTTGCTCTCAGATGGTTGAAATTCCAGGGAAGAGCTCCCGACATCGTCTGCCGGGGCGTCATATATGTCCTTCCCTCCCCTACCCTCGCCTTGCTATCGCGGCAAGGGATAAGCGTGGAGAACCTCGGCCGACGAGATGGGCAAATTCCGAACATTCAGGTGAAACCTATGATAGGATGACTCGGGTAACCATTACGAACAAGTGTCACTTGCAACGATGACTCCATCTGCACCCCGCATCGCGGAAGATTGTCATTATCAAATCCGCCCCGACAGCCACGGGAAACCCTGCGCATAAGCCATTAATAATATCTCCGCTATCACGCTATCAAACGCTATCACACTTATCAGGGTCATTGGGTCGGCAGATAACAGTGGATCAAGGTATTAAATGAGCCCTTCGTCCCTGACCAACACGAGGCGTTTCTCCGCACGATCAAATCTGTGGGGGAGGCGCAGTCGCGAGTTTCCCGGAAGATGGACCCAGCATTGAGTTCTCGAACCAGTGGAAACCCAAGGATAAGCGTGGTGGAGAGTTGCCGGTTCAGCTGCCGGCATTGCGATGAACGATAACCTGCTTGTCATCTTGCCGACCGACGCTTCGTATTGGTGCATCTGCCGACGGCGTTGCTTGGATCTGCTGCCATATCGCAACCCCGGATTCTAACCTACTCGAGTCACCGCACGGATATCGTTTTCCTCATTCAAGACCAACACGGCTTCAAGTATTTCATTGGGCCATTCATCGTCTATCAAATGTAAACAGATACTAGATAGGGAAAGTCAATCACCGGGATTTGCCTCACGGCCAAGTCCCCGACCTTGCCACCATCGCGATGAGCACAGACAGGGCACCAGAGCGGTATCGGCTTGTCAAGTTACCCGGTGGAGATACGTGTATCAATCGCTGATCGCGGAAGTCGTGCGCTTGATTCCGTGGGTGCTGTTGGTTAAGGTTTAACTTCCTGGTTATCTTATAACCGATGGGCCTCATCTGTACTGGTAGTACTAGTATAAACAGTAAACCAATTCCGTGCCATCATGCCGTGGCAGCTCTCACGAAACCAAAACATCATGGAGAAGCAACATACAGACCCCCCTCCCGGGGTGACCCCCGAATTAGACGATCTAAAACTGAAAGAAGAAGCAACCCTGGCCCGTGATGTCGGACTGGGACAAGTATTGGAGGTGGAAGCCACCCCAGAGCAGGAACGAAAGGTTCTGCGAAAACTGGACATAATGTATGTGTAAATTGTATAGCATTAAAATGTTCTTTGCTCACTGCTCGAACAAGATTGATCCCTCTGATGGGAGTCTGTTACATGATGCAATACATGGACAAGCTGGCTCTGAGTCAAGCTACCCTGTTCAACCTCCGGCAGGATTTGGTATGCTGCCACTCATAGTCAACATCATACCTATACTGACTTTAAACAGAACCTCAAGGGCCAAGAATACACCTGGACATCTGCAGTCTTCTATTTCGGGTACTTCGCCTGGAGCTGGCCTAGCTCGTATCTCATCGTCCGTCTGCCCATTGGCAAATACATTAGTGCCTCAGTGTTTGTTCCTCCCACCGATCCTGCTCTATAATGCCACTAATACCATGTAGATTGATATGGGGAGGCATCTTAATGTGCCACGCCGCAGCAAAGAACTTCGGAGGTTTAATGGCTGCCCGATTCTTCCTAGGAGTGGGCGAAGCCGCCATTGCCCCGGGCTTCTCCCTCATCACAGGCATGTTCTACAAGCGTGAGGAACAACCAGCACGGTACGCCTCCCCCATAACGAGAACAATTATTATAGATATTCAAACTAACAACTAACAAGGCAATCGGCCTGGTTCCTCGGAAACTGCATCTCCAGCGTCATCGGCGGTGTCGTAGCCTACGGAATTGGCAGCATCAAAACCGACGCCGTATCTAGCTGGCAACTCCTCTTCCTCGTCCTCGGCGCCATTACAGCATTCATCTCCTTCTTTCTCATCTTCCTCCTCCCCGACTCCCCCAAGAAAGCCATCTTCCTCACCAAACCCGAGCGCGCCATCGCCATGCACCGCACCCTCGCCAACAAAACCGGTGTCGCGGACGAGGGATCATTCAGATGGGACCAAGCCTGGCAGGCACTCCGCGACCCTCAAACCTGGTTCTTGGTGCTGTACACCTTCTCCGTGAACCTTTGCAACGGCGGAATCACTAGCGTAAGCCCCCCTTCCCAACATAAAATATCAAAATCCTCATCCATCCCGATAAAAATCTAATCATAAACGACCAGTTCTCCTCAATCATCATCAACGGCTTCGGCTTCTCCCAAATCCGCTCCCTCCTCATGCAAATGCCCATGGGCGGCGCCCAAGTCGTCTTCCTCATCCTCACCGCCGGCATCGCGACCTTCGTCCCACACACCCGAATCCTCATGATGATCTTCAACACCCTCACCTCCCTGATCGGCATGATACTCGTCTGGAAGCTCGACGAAGATAACCGTCGAGGCAGACTCACGGGTCTGGCACTGGGCGCTGTGTTTGCTGTCAATATTCCCCTCTCGCTGAGTATCATCAGTTCGAATGTCGCCGGGTTCACAAAAAGAAGTACCACCAGCGCGTTGTTGTTTGTTGCATACTGTGTGGGGAATATTGTCGGGCCGCAGTTCTTTTATACCTCCGAGGAGCCTTATTATCCGGTATGTTTTCTTCCATCTGTTTATAGAGGGGCGGTATGCTAATGTGGTGGGTTATAGACGGGCATGAAAGCGGCTATCTCGGGACTGGCGTTGGGGGCATTCTTTCTGGTGTGTTTGCTGGGTTATTATATCTGGGAGAATAAGCGGAGGGATCGACTGTATGGAGTTCCGGAGCAGATGACGGAGAGTCAGGAGTTGGCGTTGGGGTTGTCGAGTAAGACGGATTTGGAGATTGAGGATTTTAGATATGTTGTGTAGGTTTCATAATAGAACACTACATAAAGAGATTTCAATCAGTTTGTTTACTGCTAATGGGTAGATGAATAGAGGGGAACAAAACAGGGTGAACTGTGAAGGTATCGATGGAATAAGACGCACATTAATTGAGAATATGGTGGAGAGAAAGGGGGTTGATCATGGGTCAATTGACTTATATGCAGAAGTGGGAGAGTACATGGTATTCAATGTAAATTATTGGTCTATTAGCAGGAAAAGAAAACAACAGCTTGCTTCATAAACAACAGAAGGCCCATTATTCGATGAACAAAAGGTATTAATTGTCATGCCGCGGGTCCCAAAAGGGATAGTCATCAGAGAGAATAGGTACATTCCATTCGACAAGTCTCTCGTCGTCCCACAAAGCGTATTGCCACGGACGGTGCTTATTAGTAGCCCCGAACTCATACATGTCATAAAAGACCTGGGCAAAATTGAGATCGTCTCGAAGCCATATCCTCTTCCATGCTAGGTTAGGCCGCTCAAAAGGCGGTAATGATTTCAGAGACTCTCGAAGTCCATTCCTGTCCGTGCCGAAGTTGAATTTGTCTGCAGGGTAGAACAGTTCCATTTGATCATTGTCGCTCGGTCGGGGCCAGATTCCAAAGTCATAGAAATATAACCTAAACGATCGCACGTTGACGAGGACCAGGTTCCGGCGCGCGAGGAATTGTTTTTCCCGCAGGATTTTGCATAGGAGTAAGGGCCCTTTCGAGGCCAGGCTCTCTCTCTTATCCATTGGGTCTTCGAAATCATCACAGTCCGTGTACCAGCAACCGGGAGGAGGTCGTTGATCTTCTGGCAGCTCGTCAAAGAACATGCAACCTGTCTGCACCAGGCTGTCGGATACTTCGCGGAGTATCGATTCGTATCGGTAACAGCAGTGTTCCCATAGACAGCTGAATTCTTCCACTTCCCAGGGACTCATATGACCAAAGAACAGACGCCACATTTCCCCGCCAGTGAATACATCTTGCTCCTCTTGCCAATCGTTGTCCTCCGAGGTGTGCTCCGCCTCCACAGTACGCTCGATTGAACCGAAGATATTTCCGTAGATTTGCAATCGATAGAAGGCACGGATGATGCGTCGTTTCTCTATCTCTGTTAAGTCTAGAGGTATTATGTCGCTCTCCCACCTGGTCTCATCCATCCATACCGGTTGTCTAATGGTTCTGCAGAAATCCTCTAGGAATAATAGAGCCTGGTTATGTAAATGCAGCAACTGCACTGTCTCCTGGGTATTCGCTGGTTCATCTAGAAGCTTCGCAGGTGGAGTTTCCGGCCGAGGGGTCTTGTGGCTGTAATTTCGGCTCTCAAGAAGTGCGATGATTTTTTCTTTGTTGGGTTGCTCCGAAGCGTACAAGCCTTTGGAACGGATGGCGGTTTTTGCATCGGTCATGTCAACCAGGCCAGCATGGTGCTTCTGTAGAATGCTCCAAAGAAGATCTTTCTTCACTAGCTCAAAGACTTCATAGTAGGCAGGCGATGCACGTAGAAGCGACCACAGTGAACTGGGGTCAGGTATGGTGAATAAGATGGAAATACGCAGTTCCACCGGGATGCCTTCCAGGGTGGGCACAGCCTGATCTGAAGTTAGCACATGCACTGTCAGTAATGGTGAAGTACACTAACCATGTTCGGTAATTTATACTATCTGAGATCTTGTTCCTTTCAGACTAAAGTTGATGGTAAGGGGTGGGTGAGAATGACGTGAAGGTGACAATAAAAATGTAAGAGAAAGCAAGGTGAGGTGAGGGGAAGAGAAAACGAAGATGATCCCGCCGCATCTTTGAGCTGATGCGATTGTCCATCGCCAATCAGTCGCCGACTGGTAGACTTCCTAGACATGCAATAGCCTGAATTTTTATATTATGGCTCTTTTTTTTCCTCTATCAACACAGCCCTCTCGAAGCTCATGAAGCAGGCCCAGTCTCTTCTTGATCTTGTGGGTCCCACGTAAGTCTATTCATCGCAACTGCTCCTCTCAACACGTTTCTGCACAATAATATTATGCAGAATATTACTAGTGCCTACATAGATATATTTAGCAGATTATACAGTTCACAATAGATTAAATATCCGGATAATACTCTATTTTCTGGTAGAGACAGATTAAACTGGAAAATGCCGTGTAAGATGCGTGATCTTACGGGCCTTGTAAGCTGTTATTGTGAATTAACCAGGAAGGTTCCGATCTGTTGGATTTCCTGACGGCTTTTTCCTACGCTCGACTGGAAGCTTCCTATGACGATCGGGTGGTCTGAAACCCGGCCACACTCTTTAAAAAGGCCTTGTTTTCCGGTCATTGAGCAGGAACTATCATCAACCCAATCATTCTTTTATAACGAACTCCGAAACAGTCTAAACACATTAGTTCTCACGGTTTCTCTTCAACGACCGGCCAATGTTGCACTTTAGTCAGCTATAGAGCAACTGCTTAGCAATGAATCCATTCAGTGAACGCAAATTTGCTTTTAGCTCAGCCATATTCATTCTTTATGGAGGATT